AGTAGGAACATTATTTCTCTCTTACATAACATCTAATCGTAAACTTTCAGGGCTGGTGTGCAAGTTCTTTGGTGCCAGGAAGCCAGGATCCTTCTCCATGATCACTTTGACATCTATCTCTAAGCCATTGTCCTCAGCTGTATGGTCCAGGAAATTGCCTCATCACATCTGCATTCCAGCAGAGAGTGGGAAAGACAAGGCGCAGCCTTTCCCTTTAAAAGCATAACCTGGAATGGCTGTTGTACTCACACCCCATTGACTAGAACCTAGTCACGTGGTTGTGTGCAGCTGCAAGGGAGTGTGGGAAATAACTGTTCTATTATGAAAGAAAGCAGAGAATCAGAGTAGCTTATCTTACACTGATTGTTATCCACTCCCTGGGTCTGAGGTTTGTGTCCTGCTAATACAAAACCAAGTCACTGTTTGGTTAGGAAGAAGGGAGGGTGGTTGTAGAAGTACTCTATCTCCACTCTAGACTCATATGCCATATTTTTATGGTTTTATTACCTTGAGTTATTAGATTTTTAACAAACAACTGTCACCTGTTAAACAATTTCTGTGGTTATCGTAAACAGAATTCTGATCCACCTCATAAGAAACACCCTAATAAAAAAGAAAAAAGTTTATATCAATAATAAATGTTAGGGCCGGGGAGCTCAGTGGTAGTGCGCCTGCCTCGCAAGCACAAGGTCCTGAATTTGATCCTCAGTACCGAAGAAAAAAATGTTGATGAAATACAAAAGAAAAGAAAGAAAAAGAAACTCCCATGTTCCCGCTGAGCATGGTGACGAACACCCCTAATCCTAGCACTCTGGGGGTGCTGAGTCACAAGGATCACAAGTTCAAGCCCAACCTGGGCAATTTAGTGACCTAGTGAGACTCTGTCACAAAATAAAAAATAAAAAAGGGCTGGGTACATAGGTGGAGGGGGAAAAAAAGGGGGAGGAAGGAAGGATGGAAGGAAAAAGAGAAGAAACTCACAAGTTCTTGGGCTCTGGTTTCAAATCTTGGATTCTTCACTTACTGGCTAATGATGGATTTGGATGAATTGACCACTCTGAGAATCAGTTCTACTTTTTTTTTTTTTTTTTGACAGGATCTTGCTATGTAGTTCAGGTTGACCTTGAACACTCACTGTTTACCTCAGGCTGGCCTTGAACTCCCGGTCATCTTCCTGCCTCAGCCTTCCGAGTGCTGAGATTACAGACATGTGCCACTGTGCCTAGCTGAGAATGTATAATGTTGTTCTGAGGATGAGACAAAACTCTGGGAATAATAAACTTCTCCTAGGTCCGGGAATTCAGCAGGTATCTAATTACAGGGAGACAGATAATTAGCCCTCAGATTACCTTATCAAACAGCAACAATGTAATCATGGGGCTCTGGTGCAATCATGTCCTCTGGCCTCTATTTCTCCTCCTCCTTCAGCAGCCATCTCAGCCCACAATAATATATTTACTTTTAGTCTCAGCTTGCTAATGCTGCATAACAAATCATTCTAAAAATTAGTGGCTTGAAAACAATGATAGGTTTTATGTTGCTCATAAATCAGGGCAGGTTTGGCAGGGGCAGCTCATCTGTGCTCTACTTGGAACCAGCTTGAGGACAGGATGGGGCTGGAATGCTTTGAAGTTTTGTTCCTCAGGTACAGCAACTGAGCAGGAGGAAGTGAAATATCTGGGGTTGGAACAGATACTCTCCAGCATCTCTCTCCAGCATAGAGATGTAGTCTCTCCAGAACAATTGATTTAAATATAGCCAGGCTTCCATCTCGGTGGCTCAAGACCCCAAACTCTCGTGTTCTAAGAATAATAAAATTACGTGGGCCTGGCATGGTGGCACATGCCTGTAATCCCAGCTCCCCAGGAGGCTGAGGCAAGAGGATCAGAAGCCCAAGGCCAGCCTGGGCAAGCTCTTGTCTCAAAATTTTTAAAAAAGCGGGGCAGGGGGGCGGGGAGGCATGGGGATTTAGCTCAGTGGTTCTGGCACCTGCCTTGCAAGGGCAAGGTCCCGAGTTCGAACTCCGGTACCTAAAAATAAATAGAAGGGGGGAGTAGCTGGGGTGTAGTGCTGTAGGAGAGGACCCCTAGATTCCATCCTCATTGAGAGAGAGAGAGAGAGAGAGAAAGAGAGAGAGAGAGAATATCAGGTGGAAGCCACAGTTCCTTTTATGATCTAACCTGAGAAGTCACACAACCTCACTTCTGCTTCTTGCTGTTTGTTAAAAGTGAATCATCAGGGCATTGTATCATCCTTTCTTGTCTACAAAGTGAAGGCCAACTCACAACCACCAGTCTGCATTTCAGCCTGCAGGAAGGAGAAAGAAGCCTAGAAAGAAAGCCAGAAATGGCTTCTTAAGAGCTGACCTGGATGTAGAGACTTCTCAAAAAACTAAAACTAGGGCCGGGGATTTAGCTCGGTGGTTCTGTCGCTTGCCTTGGAAGCGCAAGGACCAGAGTTTGATCCCTGGTACCAAAAAATAAAAAACAAAACAAACAAAAAACTAAAACTAGAGGTTCCATTTGACCCAGATATTCCCCTTCTTGGTATCTTCCTGAAAGAATTAAAAACATCATATCATAGTGATATGGGCACACACATGTTTACAGAGGCACAGTTTGCATAGCTAAATCTTGGAAACAGCCTAAATGCCTGTTGACTGATGAATGGATAAAGAAGATGTGTTTTTTCTATACAATGAAGTATTACTCTGCCATAAAGAAGGATGAGCTTCAGACATTTCAAGCTAAATGGATGGATCTTGAGACCATACTCTTTTTTTTTTTTGGTACCGGGGATCGAACTCGGGTCCTTGTGCTTGCAGGGCAGGCGGCGGAACCACTGAGCTAAGTCCTGGGCCCCTAGACCATACTCTTAAGTGAAATAAATCAGACACATGGGTTTAAATACCGCATTGTTTCTCTGGTATAAGAGACTGAAAGTGGAAATAAGGATTAAAATGTATAAGAAGAAAATGTTCAAATGATAAGGGGAACAAGGGAGGAGGGAGAGAGGAAGGAAGGGCTAAGAAACAAAGTGAAAATAGAAGGAAAAAATGGAAACAGCTTTTATACATAAGGAGGGAAGGGGGCTTGGGAGGAGGAGAAGAAGAAAAAAGACGAGGGATGTACCATGTACAGGTGCAAATTCCCTATGACAAGTCTTATCATTATGTATGCCTAAATATACCAATAAATGTTTTGCTATAAGAAAAAAAAGAATTGACTTGGAAGCAGTAGGTGTCATTTACAGCCTCATCCTATTGGCCAGATCCAGTCACAAGGTTACAGTGAGCTGCAAGGTATGCTGGGAAATTCAGTGTTTTATTAAAAAGTCATGTCCCAGCCAAAACTTGGAAGATGCTATACTACAATTGTTCCTTAGAATCCATGAGGCATTGGTCACAGGAGCCCTATGGATACCAAAATCCATGGATACTGAAGTACCTTATATAAAATGGCATTATTACTGAATCCTTTCATACGATGAAATCATCTCTAGATGATTTATAACTCCTAAGATAATGCAAACGCTGTGTGCCTAGCTGTTGCATTGTTTAGTGGATAATGACAAAGTCTATATGTTCAGAATGTTTTGGGGGTTTTTTTGGTACCAGGGATCAAACTCAGGACCTTGCTCTTTCGAGGCAGGCGCTGGAACCCCTGAGCTAAATCCCAGGCCCCAGAATGTTTTCTTTTAAGTCAAGCGTGGTGGCACATGTCTATAATCCCAGCACTTGGGAGACTGAGGCAGGAGGATCGCCATGAGTTTGAGGCCAGCCTGGGCTACATTGTGAGTTTAAGGTAAGTCTCAACTACACAGGAAGACCTTGTCTCAAAAACAAAAAACAAAAAACAAAAAATAAAAAACGAATGTTTTCTTTTTTATTAGTATATATTTGTGATACATAATAACATTCATCTTGTGCTCACTTCAGTAGCACATACACTAAAAAAATTACATTTATCTTGGGGAATTGAATCTTAATTATTTTAACTTCCCCTCCTCCTCCCCACCCTCCCATGTCTGCTCATCCCTAGATCCTGTACTGATCTCCACAAATCTGTCTCCTTGTTCCTATCATCTACCCTTTCTTTTTCTTTTTTTTTTTTCTTTTTTTTTGGCGGTGCCAGGGATTAAACTCAGGACCTTGTGCTTGCAAGGCAGGCTTGGCACCACTGAGCTAAATCCCGGCCCTATTTTGCTTTTCATGTTAGTTATATTTGGAGTTTCTCATATAAGAGAAACCATGCAATATTTAATCTTCTGTGACTGATTAACTTCATTTAGCTTTATGATCTCAAGGTACATCCCATTGCCTGCAAATGACTCACGTTTATCCTTCATAGCTGGGCTTGGTGGTGAATAACTGTAATCCCAGCACTCAGGAGGCTGAGGCAGGAGGATTACCTTGAGTTTGAGGCCAGCCTGGCTAAACAGTGAATTTAAGGCCAGCCTGATTTACAGAGTGAAACCCTGCCTCAAAAGAGAGAAAAAAAAAAGCTTATCTTTCTTTATGGCCAAGTTTATCCATTTATCTAATGGGCTACGTTCAGAATATTTTCAATCTGCATTGGTTCAGTCAATGGTTATGGAACTAATGGATACAAAGCACTTCCTTCCAACAAGAAAAGGTGGGGCTATATAGAGAGGGCCAGTAGTCTGTCTTTGCCTACTGAGCGAGTAAAGGAACCCATAGAGTAACTGGTGGACAAGGGATCTATTGATGCCCAATGCGTTGCTCTGACAGCTAGGGCTGGGGCTGAAGCTCCACAGCATAGAGCTTGCCTAGCATAGGTGAGGCCCTGGGTTCCGTCCCCAACAACATAGAGGAGCAACATCCTAAGGAGAAAGACAACTGGAAGGTGACAGGGGAGAGTGACAGCCCTTGGCTTGGCCGCTGGCCCGGACAGTGTGTGTAACCAGCGCACGGCTGAGGTTTGGGGCAGCCATCCCCTGCCTGCCCCGAGTCACAAGGCCCCTCTGTGTCTCTGTTCCAGGTCAGCAATGTCACCTTCTTAATCATCGGGCCTCTCATGGGCTCCCTGATGCACTCCTACATCCAGAAGCGCACCCGCTACATCTACTGCACCTTGGCATTCTTTGTGTTCACAGGTGGGTGCGGGGCTGGGAGCATGGGGAGGTGGGGTAGGAATGGCCCCTGACGTGGCCTGCTGCTCCCTAGGCCTTTTCTCCATGTACTTCCACATGACGCTCAGCTTCCTGGGCCAGCTGCTGGATGAGGTCTCCATCCTATGGCTGCTGGCCAGCGGCTACAGCATCTGGATGCCCCGCTGCCACTTCCCTGCCTTCTTCAGGGGCAGCAGGTGAGGCAGGCCCTGGCTGTGCGCATGGGGCGGCACCCAGCCCCTCTGCGATGCTGACCCCAGTCCCACGCGGGCCATCTCCCCTGCGGACCCTAGGGTTCTTTTCTGACCCAGCCGGCCTCACGGGAGCCCCTTCCCCCCACCACTCTGGCACTTCTGCCATCTCCAGGCATTTGGGGACCCCTGAGATGCAGCTGGGTTTGGGGATCCCTCCTCTGAGCCCACCTGGCTTCCCCTAAACCCCTTACCTGACCTCACTGGGCCCCTAGAGCTTCTGCTGACTGCCCTGCCCCCAGTCCCTCTCTCCATCCTATGCCTCTGCTCCCGTGTTCACCTGGGCTCCTTGGACCTCATGGGACCCTACCTGGAAACCCCAGGACACCTTTCTCACCCACACGGGCCCCAGGATGGCCTTACTGAGCCCCCCCCAGACCTCCCCACACTCACAGTTGAACCCTGGTCCCTAGGTCTCAGTTCACCTGCATGATCCTCAGCGGCACTGTACTTGTCACCTTCCTGTCCCTCGTGAGGCCCACAGTCAATGCATACGCCCTCAACAGCATCGCCATCCACATCGTCTACATTGTGCGCTTGGAATATAAGAAGTGAGTGAAGTCAGGTGTGGTGGCACAGGGCTGTCATTCCCAGCACTCTGGAAGGCTGAGGCAGGAGGACTGCAAGTTTGACCCCAGTCTGGGCAACTCAGTGACTCAAGAGAAACCCTGTCTCAAAATAAAAAATAAAAAAGGCTGGGGATGGAGCTCAGTGTGAAGGCCTGGGTTTATTCCCAGTGCTGTTTAAAAAAAAAACAAACCAAAAACTGAATTGAGGTTAAATGCTCATGGGAGGGGCCTCCTGTCCCCCAGCCCAAGAACCTCTCGATACACATCATGTTCTGAGAACTGAGCCCCCTGAAGCACAGGCTCCTGGAAGGGACCTCTCTCCCCAGGTCACCCTGCAATGACAGACAGCACCAGGATTCGGATCTGTGTCTGTTTCACTGCTGAGCCGGTCCTTTTCATGACAAAACCCTTAAAAACATAACTATCACCAGAGAGAATAGCCCTGTTACGGTTTGGATAAAAACAAGAAATGTCCCCCAGAAAGCTCATGTGTGCAGAAGCAGGGCTTTTGGAAGATGATTAGATCCCAGGCACTAATCTCACCAAAGGCTGAGTCCATCATGAGTTCCTAGCTGAGTGCACTGAGAGGGGCGGAGCCTGTTGGAGGAAGTAGGTCACTGAGCACGTGACCCAGAGTGTCATTTTTCTCATTTCTGCCCCTCCTCTCTCTCTGGATCTTTTAAACTCTGCTTCCTGCCTGCCTTGGGGTGAGCAGCTTTCCTCTGCCAGGCCCTTCTGCCTTGGAGCTATCCAACTATGGACTGAAACCTCTGAATCCGTCAGCCACAGTAAACCTTTCCCCCTTTGAATTGGATATGTCAGGATATTTTGTCCCAGCAACTGAAAGGTGACTGACACAGCCCCCATAAACTTCTATGCACCCATCAACCAGCTCCAATAACCATCAACATTTTACCAATGTGTGTTACACGTTTCCCCTTGATCCACATACTTTTACCCTTAAACTTTTCAGGAATTAATTCTCCCAACAATCATCAGCTTCCACCTACACTGAGTCCTAGGAGGAGAGAGAGGGGAGTCTCAAATGGGTCCTTTTAAGAAGAATCAAGAGATTATAAACAAAGGAGAAAGCAGGGTATTAGGAAAATCTGTGGGTGCTGTTTAGCATTCCTGTGCCTGTAAGTGTGGGATTGTGTGACTATCCAGAGATGTGGGGCAAGAGGTGATGGAGGGGGTGACTACAAGAATCAAGAAGGAGCCATTCCCAGTCCCATGGAGAGAGCTCCTTGAAGATGCCATCTCCAGTTACTGGTTGCGACTAGCCTGAAGCAGCCCCTCAGAGGAAGTAAGGAAATAAATATTCTAGCAGTACCCTCTTCCAACTCTTTGATCTCCTGGTAGAGTCCCATTTGGGTCAAGCAAATTGGAAACCATTGGCCAAGCCAACTGGAAACAAATGGCCAAGACAACTGGAAATCAATGGCCAAGACAACTAGAAACCAATGGCCAAGCCAACTAGTAACCATTGGTCAAGCCAATTGGAAAGCATGGGCCAAACCACCTGATAACCATTGACCAACCCAACTGCAAACTAATGGCCAATCCAGGTAGAAACCATTGGCTATGCCAACTAGAAACTCATTGTCAAAGCCAACTGGTAACCATTGACCAGAGTTAATATCTACTCTTAGTGGGCTGTAAATAATTAGCAACTGTTAGCTATAAGCACAGAGTAAGCACTGTGTTAGTCAGATTTCTACTACTGTAACAAAGACCTGAGGTAAATCCACTTATAAAGAGGTGAGGTGAGCAGGACATGGTGGCATGCACCTGTGGTCTCAGTTACTCAAGAGGCTGAGGCAGGAGGATGGCTTGGGCCTAGGAGATCAAGCCAGCATGGGGAACATAGCAAGACTCTTCCCCACAAAAGAAAGGTAAGGTGTAATCGGGCTCACAGTTTTAGAGGTTCCAGTCCATGATTAGATGGTCCCATCTCTTTGGGTCTGTGTTGGCACAGGGGAGCAGGAATGCAATGCCTGTCTTCTTATGTCCAGGAAATGAAAGGGAAAGAGGCGAAGAGATCAGGGTCTTCAATGTGCAATGACTGCTCACCATGCCAGCCTCTTAAAGGTCCCACTACCTCCCCCCAGCACAGCCTTTAACACAGGGGCCTTTGGGGACACTCCAGGTCCAAACGATCCAAAGCACCAACTCACAGACACCTTAAAGCCTTGCTCCTTCCTTCCTCTGGTCCTTGGATGGAGGGAATTCCCACAAGCCCCTTCGGGTGCTACTGTCTGAGCCGGCCCCATGCCCCTTGTGCCCTCCCAGGACCTGCAACAAGCAGCTCCGGCATATGATTGAGATATCAGTACTTCTGTGGGCCAGTGCCCTGATCAGCTGGATCAGTGACCTCTTCTTCTGCAGCTTCTGGCAGCGAATTCGTTTCTTCTACCTGCACAGCATCTGGTGAGCCCCTGCCCCAGACCTGGAACCTGGGAATCAGAGGAGCTCAGGGGCCAGAGCTTAGAGCAGGAGCCTGGGATGGGGTAGGGAGCCAAAGGGGGAGATCTAGATACTGAGACTTGGTGGGGGGAAGGGTGGAGTTGGGAACCTAACCCTAAGGTCCCTTGGAGTGGCAGAGATCCATGAGGGTCAGGAGAGGCTGGAGGAGACCAGGGGCATCCTGCGCCCTCACCACCCTCTCCCTGCACCCCACAGGCATGTGCTCATCAGCATCACCTTCCCTTATGGCATGGTCACCTTGGCCTTGATGGATGCCACGTATGAGATGCCAGGCCAGACCCTCAAAGTCCGCTACTGGCCACGGGACTCTTGGCCCGTGGGGCTGCCCTACATTGAAATCCAGGCTGATGACAAGAACTGCTGAGGGCGGCTGACCCCTTGCCCATGCTTGTGGATTCACCCGGGATGTGAGGGTGGAGGCCTGCACCAGCTCTGCACTGGAAGGACACTCTGGGTGCTTCTCTCGTTCTCGTCCCCTGCTATATCCTGCCCTATCCTGCCCCACAGCAGGGGGACAGTGTCCTAGTGTCCCGAGTGGCAGTCTGATGCCCCTGCCATGGCTCCCCTCCATCACCTTCCTGTCCTCCTTCACTTCCTCCTCTGCATCCACACCTCCCCCCTGGACACTGTCACATCAGCTCCTGAGGCTGGGTCCCCAGGGACCAGGTGGGCTGAATGCCATACCAGTGTGGGTTAGATCTGGCTTTGTCCGTGACAATGTCCCCGGTACTTGAGGAGCATCACAGAGAACAGATAACATCCGGGTCCCTCACCATACAGCCTCACAGACACGCAGAGACCTCACAGACGCTCAGGCAGGTGCCCTGGACTTGAGGGAGGAAGTCATCGCCGGTGGACATCTGAGGACAGTGGGGGACACCCTGGGCCATGTGGGCACTGTGGACCCTGGGGACCCAGAGGGGAGTGGGGTGTCCAGTCTACGTCTCAAGCAGTGGTGGGTTTGTGGGGAGCGTGGAATGCATGGGGATTAAGGGGGAGGCCTTGGAGCCACACAGACCTGCGTGTGGGTCCCTGCTTAATCCTCGTCCAGCTGTGCAATCTCAAGGATGTGATTTCCCCTACTTCTGAAGCTCAGCATCTTTTTTGTAAACAGTATTCCCTCCCTCATGGGGTCTCTCTGCGAATAAAAGAAGTTAATGTGTGTAAAGTGTTTTCTGTTGAGTCTGCCAAAGATCCATCCATCCATTTATACTTTAATTCAACCATCCATTTATTTATAAAATTATCTACTCATCCATACATGATTAATCTATCCATCTGTCCGCGTACCCTTTGATTTACCTATCTGTGTGCTCGTGTTGGCAGCACACATGCTAAAACAATTGATTTACCTATCCATTAAATCATCCATCCATTCATTGGTTTATTTGTTTGTTTGTTTTAGAGACAGGTTCTTGTTATATACTTTAGGCTGACCTCAAACTTATGGCGATCCTCCTGCCTCAGCCTCTCATATACTGGGATAACTGCCGTGCACCATCATACTGGGCTTGAGGCCCTTAATGTGGGGTCCCTGGATGAGTTCAGTATTCACAATGCTGCTGACACTGTCTGCCAAAGGTGGGTCTTGGGAAGAGACACTGTCATATGGTAGGTGTGGCTCAGAGAGGGCAAGTGAGTTGCCCAAGGCCAGAGCCTGGGATTGAACCTAGCTAGATCCCTCTCCTGAGTGTCTCCTTACAGTGCACTGAGTTATCGGTGGGATTGAAGTGGGCCTTGGGTCCCCTGCTTCCAGGTCTTCCTGGTGGTTTTTCAGAGACTAGATGTTCTTGGGTCGTGTGTGTGTGTGTGTGTGTGTGTTTCTGTGTGTTTGTGAAATAACCTGCAAAATACTGTGTGTCTTGGTGTCTGGGCAAAAGGAATTGTACTTCCATGATCAAAAACTTCCTGGGGTGTCACAGCGGTGGCTCTGCCTATAATTCCAGAAATCTAGGAGGTGGACGCAGGAGGATCACAAGTTCCAGGCCAGCCTGGGCACTTTAGCAAGATCCTGTCTCAAAATTAAAAATAGTAGAGGCTGGAAAGGTAGCTCAGTGTAAAGACCCTGGGTTCAATCCCCAGCACTGAAAAAGCAAGCAACCAAGTGAGCTTGCTTCCTGGGGGGAAAGGGTAGAGAAGCATCTGGCTCTGTCTTGTTTCCATTTCTTCCCCTTCTCTGCTGGCTCCTGTGGCGATGGTGTGAAATCACCCCAAAATCCTCTACCAATTGGTGACACCAAAGGACACTCCTTGTGTGATGTTGTTTACATGAAATGCACAGAAAAGGGAAATCCATGGGGACAGACAGCAGACACCATTTGGTGGGGGCCAGATGGTGAAGGAGGGGCTTGGAGAGGAACTGCTTCCTAGGGTCGGGTTCTCCTTCCAGGGCACCCATTGCCCAACACTGTGAACGTTCTAAATGGATTCTACAGTTCAATATGGTGAACAGTCAATTGTACTTCAGGTGGGTTCACCCTCAATTAAACATTGAAAAGAAATTCTAGAGTTACTCACAGACAAGCTCAGGTCATGACTCACTTGGATATTTGTATGTTTGTTTGTTTCTAGAGTGGTAGGAGGAGGGGGCAGTCCTGGAGCTTGGACCCAGAGAGTGCTGAGCTATGTCCTCAGCCCTTTACATATTTTGTTTTGAGACAGGGTGTCACTAAGTTGCTAAATTGTCCAGGCTGGTCTTGAACTTGAGATCCTCCTGTCTCAGCCTCTTGAGTGCTGGCCCTGGGTTCAATCTCAATTACTGAAAGAAAAATTCATTGAGAGATGTTGCAAGGGCTCACATTGGCCCTGGGCAGGAAGCCCCCAAATCAGGAACCATTCCAAAAGGAATGATATTAGGAGACAAGAAATTGCAAATGTTCATCATTCTGACCTTATCTAAGTACATATTTGATTTTTATATTTTTTTGGTTTGCTCCAAAACCATTTGTGGCTCCCTATTGCCTGTGGGGCAAGGGCCAAACATCTCAGTATAATATTCAAGGTTTGCTCCATGCTGAAGTTCATCTGGGGTGGGTCTCAACTGACTGCCCCTGGGTCTGCTGCTCCAGCTTGGGCAACACTATGATGGGTGGTTTGTATGCGTTTGCGGTTGGCAGTGAACAGAGAGAGGCAGAGAACACCCTGGAGGCCAGAAAGAGGATTCCAAAAAATATCCTGAAGGGCTGGATCATCTAGAAGGTGAAATGGAAGGAAATATGTGTTCAATCCTGCCAGGTGCAGTGGCGCACACCTGTTATCCCAGTACCGTGGGAGGCTGAGGCAGGAGGATCACAGATTCAAGTTCTGTCTGGGGAATTTAGTGAGGCCCTGTCTCAAAATAAAAATAAATAAATGAATAAAAAGAGCAGGGGATGTAGCTCAGTGGTAGAGCAAGTGTTCCTGGGTTTGAGCCAAAGTATCAAGGGTGGGGAGTGGCGGGGGGGGGGGGAGAGCACCCGAAAGAGAGACAGAGAGAGCGCTCCTTCCTTGGGTGCAAATTGTCCCAGCAGAGGGCGGTAGAGACTTAGTGTAGCAGTGGATCAGTTACAGATCAGAAGCCAAGCCACAAACATCCAAAATATTGTTTTGGAGCCTTGAAATCTTGGGTCAATTATGCCCCCTCTATGCCTCAATCCCATGGCTTGCTACATTGGGATAACAGGTAAAATAGCTACAAAATAGATTGAGCACAAGGAATTGTGCATTCTGCCAAATCCTCAAGTTACTGTATCATTTTCTTTGAATCTACTCCCTCTGCTTACATGGATACAAGGGGAAACATCATGTGTCAAGCTCAAGAAGTTATCAGTCGTGGGTCACAAAAGTAGATACAGTAACGCAAGCGTCATTAACTGCAGGGCAGTGGTTCTTGAAAGAAAAAGGAAGGAGCTGGCTCCGTCCCACCCTGGGGTAATAAAAGTGGAACCAATCTCCCTCCTTCCCTCCCTTTTTGTACTCGGTATCCAACTCACAGGGACTCTATCACTAATCTACATGCTCGGCCCCTTTTATTTTTTATTTTGAGGTAGAGTTTTCCTAAATTGCACAAGGTGGCCTCCAACTTGCTATCCTCCTGCCTCAGCCTCCCAGAGCTCACTGGTGTATTTTAAACCTCCTCAGGAGGCTTCCATGCCCAAACAAGGTTGGAGAACCCTGCACCAGAAACTGTCACCTGCTGTTATGGCTTGTGTCTAGCTGTTCCCCCCAAAGCCTCCTGTAGTCATAGGCGGGGCTTTTTCAGAGGTGGCTGGATCTAGAGTGGGAGGCCGGGATTGATTCATGGTGCAGTGCTAGGCTCGAGGACACTAGGATTAAGGGTGTGAGTGCTACCTGCTCTAAGTAGTCTGAATAAGATATAAGGGACAGGAAGAGTTGTGGTCGTCCCTTGTTGCTTTGCTACCTTCTGCCCACCATGAACTGTTTCTCCTCTGCCATGCCTATCTGCCAGGAGCCAGCCGATTATGAACTGAAACCTCTACAAACTGTGAGCTAAATAAACTTTTCCTTTCCTAACTGGGTGTCAGGTATTTTGTCTCAGCAATGAGAAAAATAACTAAGACATCTGACTATGGCTCTGCTCTCCAAAGCTGTTCCCTTTCTCATCAAAGCAGGTGACTTAAAACTGCAATACTCATTTATTTTCTCAGAAATCTGTATTTTTAATAAAAGTTGCTAGGGAGACGCTGAAGATGGACAAACACCTGGGCATGGTAGCACACACCTGCAGTCCCAGCACTCGGGAGGCTGAGGCAGGAGGATCAATGTGAGTTCGAGGGCAGCTTAGGCTGCACGGTGAGACCCTGTCTCAAAAAACCAAAAATTAGAAGAAAAAAAAAAGATGGACAAACACCAAGCTGAGGCCTTCTCCTGCTGAGCCCCTATTATGTGCCAGGTTTTGTGTTCAGGATACACCAGCAAAACAAGACAGCCACCCCTGTTTTCTCGGAGCTTTCATTCTAGGCAGGGAAGATAGAAATGAACTTACTAAGTAACTGTATCGGGAGGCAAGGATGTGTGCTGTGAGGAGAGGGAAAATTAGAACAGGGTGAGGAAGGCTGGGGAGTGAAGCTGGGGTACAGATCAAACAGGGGGTTCAAGGTCTCCTTTACTGAGGAGGGACAATTTGAAAACAGACCTGGAGGAAGGGAAGAGGTGAACCAATAGACATCTTAGGGGAAGGTGGGCCCTGCTAAAATATCAAGGCAAGCCATCGTGGTGCCTGTCTTCCCAGCACTCTGAGAGGCTGAGGCAGGAGGACTGTGAGTTTGAGGTCAGCCTGGGCAACTTAGTGATTAGTGAGACCCTGTTGTCACTAAGGGGATGTAGCTCAGTGTGAAGACCCTGGATTCAATCCCCAGTACTGCAGATGGAGATGACAGAGATAGATAGACAGAGATAGAGACAGAGAGACAGAGATAGAGATCTTCCTCTCCTTGAATCTTATGTTGGTGGACTTGACACTCCTAGGTCCCATCAGTCTTTCTTGTTCTTTTTTTTGAGACAGTCTTGCTATGTAGTTCAGGCTGGCCTTGAACTCACAGCAATCCTGCCTCAGCCTTGCGAGTGCTGGATTATAGGTGTGTGCTGCCACATCTGGCTGCTGCTTATTTTCTCACCCTTGCCTCCATATATTTTTCTTTCTAGCACGTCCTGCCTTAGATTAAAAAGTATGGTGGCATTATCTTGACAGCAATCTGGCCTTCTTCAGAAGTGTTTGGTTTGTTTTGTATCCAGTACTGGAGATCGAACCCAGGGCCTTGTGAATCCTAGGCAAGCACTTTACCACAGAGCTCCATCCTCAGCCCCTTTTAGTTCTTTAGACTAGATCTTCTTCTTTTTTTTTTTTTTTTGAGATAGGGTCTCATTTTGTAGTTCAGGCTGGCCTCGAACTTGCAGCAATCCACCTGCCTCAGCCTCCCAAGTGCTGGGATTATAGGTGTGCTGCACCATGCCCAGCTCTAGACTAGATCTTGCTAGACTTCCCGGAGTCTCCATGAACTTGTGATCCTCCTGTGTCATCCTCCAGAGAACCAGGGATTACAGGTGATGAGCACCACCACCTGCTGGTATTTATTTATGTACAGTGGACCCTCGAGTTACAACCAGCCTCACATATGAACAATTTGGGTTACCACTGGAATTTTAGTTTTAATTTATGACCAAAGTCTTGGGTTATAAGCCAAATGCCGGCCACTTGTTCAGTTGTAAACAAAGACTTGCGATGCCAGAGAAGCATATGTAAGCGTAGGTCAGTGCCAGTCTGAGCCCAGATGCATGTTTGTGGATGTGATTTTGATCAGTCCTTTATATAACTGCTATGATTAGTGCTATCAAAATGGCCCCCAAAAAGCTAGAAAAGAAGCTAAGGAAGAAAAGGAAGGGAAAGGAAGTAATCATGATTGAAAAGAAGAAGGAAACTGAGGAGAAATATGAGAGTGGCATTCGTGTGACTGATCTAATACGTACAGCATGTCAAAATCCACCAACTCGACCATCTTACAGAGAAAAGATTTGAATAAGGAAGCTAGTGCTGCTTCAGGTGTTACTCAAATCAGTAAGTCACAATCAACAATGTTAGGCGAGGTAGGCCATTATTAGTGTGGATAAACAAAAGGCAGACAGCAGGTTATAATCTATCTGAGTCTGTAATTTGTGAAAGAGCTAGGGCTATAAATGCAGACCTGGTAAAGGATAATCCACCAACAAGTGATAATGGTGAAACATTTTGTGCCAGTAAGGGGTGTTTTCACAATTTTAAAGTGAGAACTGGGGTTCATGGCACAAGTAGGCATAGTGAAGCAGCCAGTGCTGATAAAAGGGCTGCTGAAAAGTATATACACCACTTCAAAATGATCACTCAGAGAAATGGCTTTTGCTTTCATCAAGTTTGTGACGAAACTGGTCTTTTATGGAGGAAACTGCCCAGGAGAACATAGGTTACCCAGGAAGAGAAGAAAATGCCAGGCCACAAGCCTGTGAAGGATATGCTAACTTTACTGCTATACGCCAATTTGAGTAGTGACCTCAAGATAAAGCCTCTCTTGGTTTATCATCCTGAGACCCCTAGAGTGTTCAGAAAACATAAAGTCAAGAAGCATAGGCTAGGGGGTCATGTGGAGATCTAAAAAGCCTGGGTAACAAGAGTACTTTTTCTTGAGTGGATCAGGGAGGTTTTCTCCCCTACTGTTAAGAAATACCTAGAGGACAAAAGTTTACCACTCAAGGCTCTCTTCATCATGGACAATGCTCCTGGTCACCCAGATTCGGAAGAAGAATTGGATGAAGAATTCCCATAGCTCTGTTGAGTTCCTCCCACCTAATACAATCCCTCTACTGCAGCCTGTGGACCATGTGGTTATAGCTAACTTTAAGAAGCTATACACCAGGGCCAGGGATTTAGCTCAGTGGTGCTGCACCTCCCTTGCAACCACAAGGTCCTGAGTTTGATGCCCGGTACTGGAAAAAACAAAACAAAAACCAAAAGAAGCTATACACCAAGGGACTGTTCCTGAAGTACTTCCAGATGGTCTTAGATACAGATTTAACCCTTAAAGTGTTCTGGAAGGAACATCACAACATCCTTTCTTGGGTAGGGTTGAGAAATCCTGGGCCAATGTCTTTCTGAGGACACTGAGATCTGCCCAGAAGAACGTGTGGCCTAAAATCATATATGAGAAAGACTTTGAAGGCTGCGTAGAGGAGCCTGAGCCTTCAATTGACCCTGTGGTGGATGACACTGTCACTACAGCAGAGTCCATAGGCTTGCAGGTGGACAGTGGTGATGTTGAGGAACTGGTGGAGGAACAGAGGAACTGTCTACAGAGGAATTTCAGCAACTTCTGGCTGAGCAACAGAGAATGGCAGCTGAGGAGCTTTCTAAAGAGGAGGGGGAGTATCAACAATCAGTGCAGCAAAGTTCTTCTGAAATATAGGAAATCCTGAAAAAACGGACAGAGCTCAGTGGTTCCACCGCCTGCCTTGCAAGCACAAGGTCCGGAGTTCAATCCCCGGTACCAAAAAAAAAAAAAAAAAAAGGAGAGAGCTACAAACATTTGTAGAGAAGAATCACCCAGACCAAGAAAAAGCCAATTGTTGGGCCGGGGATTTAGCTTGGTAGTTGGTAGCTCCACCGCTTGTCCCACAAGCAGAAGGACCCAAGTCTGATCACCGGTACCAAAAACAAACAAACAAACAAACAAAAAAAAGCCAATTGTTGCATTCACCTGCTTAATGGCACTGTCACATCATACTACATAACAGTGTTAAAGAAAAGACAGAAACAGACAACCTTAGATCAGTCTTTAGTACTGAAAAGGTCGAGATCTAGTGAGCGAGAAGCAGGTTCTAGTGGGCTACAGACTCTCCCAAGGAGAGAAAGGACACCAGAGAGCCAGATTCCTGGTATTTTTATGGAAGGGAACTTTCCTTCCAAACAATAACCACTGGCTGGGGATGTAGCTCAGCGGTACAGGACCTGCCTGGCAAGCTTGAGGCCCTGCGTTTGATTCCCAGTACAAAAAATAAAAAAGGAAAAGAAAAACAATAACCACCTTCCATTTCATCCTTCCATCCTGCAAGTCAAAGATAGCAACTTGAACGGTGAGTATGGTATGAAATTGTCTCTGGTAAACTAGGCACATTTTATAAATTTTGGTGAAAACACTAGGAAGATTATTAGTGTTTCTGATAAACTACGCACATTATACAACTCTTTTTATTATGAAAAGATTAGTTAAGTGGTGCTTTGGGAGGTTCGGAATGCATTATGGGCATTTCCATGATTTCTTAAGGAAAAAATAGTCTCGACTTACAACCAACTTCAATTATAACCAGCTTCAGTTACAACCAGCTCTTGCGAACAAATTAAGTTCATAAATCAAGGGTCCACTGTATTTCAGTACTGGCAGCTGAACCCAGGTCCTTGCACATACCACCGATGGACATCACTAAGTCCTAAAAATTTTAACTTTTATTGTTAGCTGCCAGTACTTACAGGATACAGTGTAATGCTTCAATATGTGTATACAGTGTGCAAAGAAAAACCTGGGCTAATTAACGTATCCAACACCTCCTATACTCATCATTTTTGCGGTGGGAAGAGTTTTCATAATTTTAAAATCTACATTATTTCCCAGTTACTCAGGAAGCTGAGTCAGGAGGTTCTCTTGCTCTCAGGAGTTCAAAACCAGCGAGGGCCACATAGCAATGTCCTGTCCTACAAAATCAGATAAAAGAAATACATCCATCGTTATTAACTATAGTCACCTTGTTGTTCAGGAGGTACCAGAAAGCATCCCTCCTTACTGAACACATGAGACCCTCCTGATCAGTCCAGTGTTCGACTGCTGTGACTCCAATCAGCATGGGCTCCTGCGCCCCAGTGTTCCTGTCCCTATTTTACTGAGACTCCAGGTAGGAGGAAGAAGCAGGCAACTTCATTTGCCATTCAAATCCAGGGCTGGAAACTGAATTTCACTTCCACAGCGCATTCCATCACATAGGAGAAACACGCGGCTAGGCCACAAAAGCCACCCTTGGGACACAGTCCCCAACACCCTCGCTCTGGGCGGCCCACCCGCGAGGCACTCCAGCCCGCGAGGCACCAGCCAGAGTGCGCAGGCGCAAAGCGCGTCCCGCCCCCCACCCTCCTCCACGTGCGGCGCACACCTCGTGCTCCCCTCAGCTGAGCTCGGCTCGGGCCTGCCTCTCTCCCTCCTCCCGCCCCACCGGTCCCGGCCTCCCATTGGCAGCCGGCTTCGTTCCTCCGACCGCAGCCCGGCAGGCCCCCGACAGGTCGGAAGTCCCGCCCTTCGAACGGTGGTCCATTCCGCGGATTGGCCCAGATGACTGTCCATCTAGGCGGCGGGCCCGAGTCGGCGTCGGGGGCCCGCGGTCGGTGAGCGACCTGGGCTGGCGGTGGTTTCCGGTTCCGCGGGGCTGGCGGGCGGGCTGGCGGCCCGGAGTGGCGGCGGTTGTGGCGCCTGACAGACAATGAGGGCGGCGAGGCGGCGTTAAGCGGCGGCGGCGAGAGACGCGGGGCCCGGGGGCGGGGCGGGGCGCCAGCCATGGACAATCAGGTGAGGAGCGGCCGCCCCTCCTCCTCCCCCCTCCGCCCGCCCGGCCGGCCCCAGCCTCCCCGCCCGCTTTGTGCGCGCCCGTTGCTCCCAGGCCTCGAAGTGGGGCGGGGCGCCCCTCTCCCACCCGCACCCCCAGCCCCCCTCCTGGGGAGAGCGGCCTGGCTTCCGAGCCCCCTGGGACGCGCCTCGGAAACCCGGTGCGAACCAGAGCTCCCTGGGATGGCCCTGGGGACTCCAGTTCGACCCAGAACCCTTAGGAAGCTCCTGGGAACCCCAGTCCGACCCAGAACCTCTTAGGACGCCGCTGGGGACCTCCAGCTCCGCCCAGAGTCACTGCGGACAGCTCTGGGGACTTGAGCCCAGCCCAGCGACCCCTCACACTCCCTCTCCTTCTATGACCAGGCCCTGTCTTCCCTTCTCTCTGGACCCCAAGTCGCCTCAAACTCCATAAACCGCCAACCTGCTACCTGTTCTCCCTTCAGCCTTAGCCCAGGTTTGAGTCCTTCTGGTGCCCTCCCCCCTCCAACGCAGGCCAGCCCAGGCCACCTTTCCCCCAGTCCCCTGCCTGGGCCGGAACCATCCTGCCCTACGGAGCATCTTTCTCCTCGCTTCCCAGCCGGAACCTGCGCTCCCTCATCTCCCTGGGACCCGAGCTGCCATCCTTTGCTTCAAGGACTCGGGCCTGCCTAGAGCGTCTCTTCCCTTTGAACTTGGGCTTGTGTGACCCACTGTTGACCCAGGGCCCCCTCTATTTACAGGCCCCTTGTCATTTTCCTTTGGACCTCCGAGCCTGAGGGCTGTCTGTTTTACCTTTAGACCCTCTTCTCTTAGACCAGAAGCAGGGACTGTTTTTTCTCTGATCTGGTTTCATCTTTAGCCACTACCCTCTCCCCTTCATTTTCCATTCCTTCCCCAGCATCTTAGAGCCTCAGTATGGGCTCAAGGTGGATCCCCCACCTCCTTTCTCCTGTTGGCACCTCCCACTTCGATCTGGAAGCCATGCCATTGCCAGTCCTGTTCTTGTGGACCCAAGGCCTTTCTGGCTCCCGACACCCAGCCCTGTGTTGTCTTCCACCTTCAGCACCCAAGCCCCTTCCCCTTTTCCTCAAACTCAGTACCACTGCTGTCTCCAACCCAGGGCCACTTCTTCATCCTCCCCTTCTGTTCTGGCTTCCAGGGGCACCGGGCCAGGGAGGCAGGCATTGTGGGGGTGGCAGCCAAACTCTGCTGGGAGCGAGGGCAGGTTGGGGCGTCACTGGCTGCTGGCGCCACAGAGGCAGCTCTGCCTGGTAAGGCACTGTGGGACTCTGGTTTCTGGGGTGGGGGTCAAGGGACTGTTCTGCCCGTCCCCCACCAGTGGCACAGGATCACTGAGGCAGGTGGCTCGGGCTTCTGGCTTCCCTTCCATCTTTGGTGTGGCGGTCTCTGTTTTGAGAGGTGAGCAAAGGTGCACAGCACGCAGTTGGTGGATTTTCACAAACCCTCAAAGAATCAGCTTGCTGTCTCTGCTCCCTCTTGAGTTAACCCAATGAGATGTCCCTTCAGCGTCCGCCATCCATGAAGCCCACCCCTGGGAAAGTCTCTTGGTCCCACAGAGGTGCTGAGTATGCCCCCTGTCCCCGCCCCTCAGCCTCCAGAGTGCCCAGGCCGTTTCTCTGTGATGTGCTGAGCCCTGGGTGTGTGGGCGGCTGTCACTGAGATAAGTAGGATGGTGGGAAGAAGGGGCATTTTTGGTCTGTGACAGAGAGATAAAGGCCCCACTTAGGTGACATTGGCTGTGGAGAGCTGGCTCTGTCTGCACTGCCCAGTATGTAGCTACCAGTACCTGTGGCTGTTACAAACTTCAGCCAGGTAATATGAAAAATTCAGTTCCTCGGTCCTACCAGCCACCTTCTGAGTAGTCAGTAACCGACCGCCAGCCGGCCCCCTTGTGGGGCTGACATTTCCATCAGAACAGAAAGTTCTACAGTCTAGGTCCTTGTGTGTGCGAGGGTCCAGAGGGAAGAGCGCACTTGGGAGACACCGGGGGCTCTGTCTCTTGCTTATAGAGTGAGGCACCCGGGGAGATGAGAGAGAGAATGGTGTCCTTGACCGGGTAGGTGGGTTGCTGCGAGTATCCAGAGTGGCTCTTGGTGCACAGAGAAGGCTTTGACTCCGCAGAACCTTCCTCCCCGCCCAGAGAGGCCCCAGACCTATAAATGGCTCATTATAGTAGCGAATGGCGTGGTTTCCCCCTGGGTGCACTCTGGCTTCCAGAGGCTTTGATGCTCTTTTTACCTGTCGGGTTCCCCTTCCCCTAGGACTCAGGCCCAGCTGGGAAGCAGGATTTCCCGTTCTGTTCTGGGCTCCCACCTTCTCCCCATTGGCATCTTTGCTTCCTCATGGCCTGAGAAGAGTCTGGTTGTCTTGGCCCCAACCCTACCCACAAGCCGGCCGCTCTCCCTGCCCTGCTGTGCTGGTGCTGTCTGTGGCACTTGTGTTTTCTTTGGCAGGCAGGTGCTCGCGATCTCTGCTCACTTAGGGGTTGTGTCTGGGAGGAGTGTGGTTTATCTGCAGGCCCAGATGGAGAAGGATCTGGGTGAGGACTTGGATGAAGACTGAGTGGATGCTGAAAAGAGGAGAAGGGACCTGGCCACGGGTCACTAGGACCAGACTCACCGTGGAAGCTGGGAAGTGGTATCAGCAGCCGGGTGGTCCCGTGCCTTAAAAGGACTGGGAGTGTCCCTTTGGACGACCTGGCCTCTGACAGGCTGATGAGAGGGTCGGATCGCTGCCTGCTTGTTCTCCACGTGGCCTGCTGTGTAACTCAGAGCCACTGCCTTGTGACTGGGCTCTTCCTGGAGGGCAGGCTTGTGTCTGATGATGGTGGCCATGAGTAGCCCCCAAGCCACCCATTTTGCATGAGGAAATTCAGGCCCAGGAATGTCCCCAGATGGGTCAGAGCCCAGTTGGATTTTTTTCTCTGGTACCTCTACTCTTCTCCCCAGACCTTTGCTGAAAAGTTAGCAATTACCCAGTGTGTTAAACCAGGGTGACTGATTTACCCCCAACTCCCGACTTTTAAAGTCCTGTGAAAGTCAGCCTGCCACACTTTTGTCCTGAAGTTTTCATGTTGGGTTGTTGAGACAAGAGACCCACATCCTCTTTCCTTTTAATGTCCCTTGTAATCTCTAATGCTAGGTTTTGCGTTCCACTCTAACTAAAAGTAACCACGAATCAATCTCTTTGCAACCAGCTCCTCCTGACCAAGTGACAGACGCCCCAAAGGGATTTGTGCACATTAAAAATTCTCCCCTAAGACTGCTCCCTTTCTTCCCCAGCGAAGTTGAAAGACCCTGGCCATGGTGTACTCACAATGGTACCTTGTGTATGAATAGCCTGTCCCAGGGACCTGACAGTGAAGGGTGATGGGTAATGTGCATATCCACAAGATCTGCACACCTATCTTCAGTGTTTCCAGAGAGAAATTTATTGCAAGCCTCCTCCTCCTTTTGTCATTAACCTTGTGCCCTGCATCAGCAGGACGAGGGTGGATGGAGCCAGGAAAGGGTGGAGGTGCTGGCCATCGGCCCCCTTGTACTGTGGTTAGAGGTCTGGGGCCTGGTGCAGCTGCCAGTGAGCAGTGCTGGCCCTCTGGCTTTTTCCCCGCCTTCTGGGCAGGCAGTGCTCTTCTGTAGAGAATCATCACCAAGGAGCGCCTGTCCTTTGGTTCCCCTTCTTACCTAGTTCAGTGGCTGTCCCTGAGAGCCCCTGTCTGGGCCCAGGGGGAGAAAGTCCCGCAGAACATTCTTTATATAGTCTTACTTTGCCTTGGCTCCGAGGGATCGCCTGAATCCTGTTACTTTCTCCCACCATTGCGTGTGTGGAGCCTCACTCTGTGCAGTCGGACTTCACAGCCAGTTGAGGCTGAAAGAGACAAGACTGAGCACTTCTGCTCCTGAGAGGGGTGGGATTGGCGCATCACAGGGAATGAGACACAGTAGCCAAACTCCGGGTGTAATTATACCACTTGGTAAAGTGCGACTCCCCAGAGGAGAGGCCATTTGTGGGACTCTTACAGGTAAACTAATTGCTAATGACCTGACATCTGTGGCCTAGGCTTACAGTAGGTCTCAGGGGAAGCAAGATGGCACCGATGAAGAAGAGCTTGGAATCGAGTAGAGCTGTCTGCCCTGTGCCAGGCAGAGACCAGTTCAGTCCCTACCTGGAGAGAGCTGCTCTCTGCTCGAGGGAACAGTCTGGGAAGCCCCCTGCGGTATCTGTTTGCGTGGCTGCCAGATTTAGGATTCTGGCCCTGTGTTCTATGTGCCCTCTGCCAGCTGGCCTGGACTGAGGACACTGGCCCACTTGAGGCTCCTGCCCAAGCTTAAGTATCCCCAGATGACACTTGGAGCCCTTGGGCCCCCATCTGTTGTTGACTTGTGGATGATTTTCTGGAAGAAAGGTGGTTATCACTTTCTGCAGTCACTTTCTGCTTTCCTTCGTTCTGGACTTTTATTGGGGAGCAGGTGGCAAGGTGATCCTCAACTATGCAGAGAAGTGGCAGTCATCCAGCCCTTGGTGTTGCATGCAGCTAGCCAGGCATTCTGGAGTTCCTGCAACGTGACCTCCGGGCAGCAGTAGGAGCCTCCTGGGCTGGTTGGGGCAATGGCTCTTGACAGGTGAGATGCATTTATTCCAGGGGTCTCTAGCTGAGTCTCTGCACCATTTAGCCTCAAAGCCAAGCATTCTGCTGGAGAAGTGGCTGATTGGTTTGGTGGCTGGGGAGAGAGTAGAGGAAGGAGGGATATAACCTCGGACTGTGGGATTGGCCTTGCTGTGCTAGTAAGCTATCCTGACTTGACAAGTCAGAGAGGTTGGCAGGGGCTCGGCATCCCCCTGGGCTCCAATTAGCATAGCTTAAACGTCTTCCTGAGTCACTGGTTCCTTTTTAAGGCAGTGGCACTGAGTCTGTGTTACCCCTCCAGTGCATTTCCAGCATGCACAGGGTCAGGCCAGGATCTTCTGCTCTGTTGGCCTAATCTACAGCTCAGTGTACCTTACGTGGGGCTGTTGAGGCTGTACTCGGCGCCAGCCCCTGGGGCATAAATGTCACCAGGCCGTGCTTTGGGCATGGCCTCCTGGCTGCAAAGATTACCCATTGCCGCCTGGAACCTTCCTGTTTACTTTGGCCTCTGCAGCACAGTTTTGGCACCTATATTCTCCCCTCTGCATTGGAGCCTTGGTCTCCATTCTTTCACAATCTTGGCTCTACCGCTTGCCTGACCGGAGTAGCAATTCTCCGTTGTCCAAAATGCCGGGCAGGCAGCTGAGGGCTGAGCAGCCAGATTGGCAAGTAACTAACTCCAAGGAGGCAATCTTGTTCTCCAGGAGTAAAGTCCAGAGAAACAAAAGTTGAAGTTTTCTGATTTTTGGGTTTTTCTTTCTGAAATTCCTTGTATCCATCATCCACCTGCAATCTGTTATCACTGTGTGGTTCAGGCTGGCCTCAAATTCACAGCAGTCCTCCTGCCTCAGCTTCCTGAGTGCTAGGATGACAGATGTGCATCACCACGTCAGAGTGAAGTTTTCACTTGTGACTCTTCCAGCTGCTCAGGAGTTGGGTCCCCTTTCTCAGGATGGAAAAGGCAGAGGCTGACAGGTGTAAGCATATAGGACAGCTGCAGCCCCAGTCTGCTGGGACTGGAAATAGTGTTTCGGGATTGTTTTTGTTGGGCATCCTCCATGGGCAGCGGTCTTCAGATGGGTCCTTGTGGTTGATTTGAGTGTTCCTTAGTTATCAGCTCTGGCTTTTGGTGCATCTTTCCGCCTGAGTGTTCCCTCAGGCCTGGCTTGTGGGAGTTCAGCAACCTCTCTTTTCCTCTCTCCTCGCCATTCCTCCTGTAGCTGCCAGCCCTGGCCTGGGTCTCAGAGTTCCTGAATCTCCTGTGCCCTCGGATCTGGCTGGTTCTCCCCTGATACTGGTGTTCTCCCCGATGTACTCAGTTAATTCTCTTTCTATGCTCTCCCTCTGCGTGCCTCCTACCAAGCCGCTCGTCTTGCTGCTTTTTTGGTGGTGCTGGGGATGGAACTCAGGAAGTTCTCATGAGCTACATCCCCAGCCCTTTTGATTTTTAGTTTTGAGTCAGAGTCTTGCTAAGTTGCCCAAGCTGGTCTGGAACTTAAATCCTGTTGCTTCAGCCTCCTGAGTAGCTGAGATGACAGGTGTGTGCCACCGCCCCGGCTTGTTTGCTTCTTTTCCCTTCCTGCCTTTAGCTTGGACTGTATATAGATTGCTGAGAACTGCTGCTCAGATGTTACTCCTTGTATCCATTGTGTACTTAGGCTATCATTCTTGTGTGCAATCTGGATGCCCATCCCGGTCCCAGCCTCTCCTTTCAGTGTCACTAGTGAGTCACTGCTCTTTCCTGGGAGCCCCAAAGGGATCATCATTCTGGGCCAGGGGAGCTACTTCCATCCCACCACTCTTTTTAAAATTAATTTTTTAAATCAATAGAGATTGCATATGCCTATGATGCACCTTTTTTTTGTTTATTTTTAATTGGAAAAATTCCCCTGTGACTTAGACCTGGCTAGCTGAGCACCTGGAGCCCAAGCCTCCTGCCAGCTGTCACACCCTGGAGCCTCCCTGTTCTCATCTGCCGCTGGCCCTTCCCTTTGGGAAAGCCATCCCCAGAGTGCCTGACCTGAGCGTGCTCTGGTTAAGTTGGTCCCGTGTTGTTGACACACTGCGTACCATGCTTCCAAGACAGCACCAGGATGAGCACCATGTGGTCACCTCCAGGGGTAGGGATGAAGCAGGGAAGGGCCCAGGTCCTGGGGCAGGATGAGGGGTACAGGGGGTTGGCTGTGAACTTCAGTGGTGACCAGTGTCCTGTATGGCAGCCAGAATGGGTCCCTGGGGAGTGGCCAACCCTGCAGCTGGGCTCGAGGCATGGTAGAACTTTGCTGAGTGGAGAAATGAGTCTTGAGCCCCCCAGGCCGCGGAGCAGGCGTGGGCATCTGAGCTGGGACACAGGGTGGGGGGTTTCCTGTTTCCTTAGTTCTGGGACCGGAGACACCGCCAGCTTAGTAGCTGCCTCTGTGTGCACGTGCGAGTGTGTGCAGGGTGGGGAGCCCTCAGTGGGAACCGTACAGTGGACTGTGAACCACCAGATATGTCCCGACTTTGAAGGGGTGAACTGTGATGGACTGGGAGATGGAGGTGTGGGGAGCCTGCGCTTTGGCCCCAGGGGTGGCACCTGCAGGAGTGGGGTGCCTCCTACCAGCCTGGTGGCAGAGGTCTAGACCAAGGCAGGCTCGGGTGAAGGAGGCCGAAAGGCGCAGATGGAGCTCTGTGGGCAGGCCAGGACAGGAGGGTGGCCCCGTGGGGAGGGTGCCCAGCTCGGGGGAGTTGCCCTGGCAATGTGGCACTGGCCCCTGGCTGCCACCCCCGCTTATCTGGCACTTAGAAACACGTGTGCACTTGGCTGTGCTTCCTTCTGTAACACTTGTGTATTTGCTACTAGGTATTGGGGCTGTGTCTATTAAAAGTCAGGAGGGGCCAGGGATTTAGCTTAGTGGTTCCGGTGCCTGCCTCACAAGCACAAGGTCCCAAGTTCCATCCCCAGTACCAAAAATAAATAAATAAATAAAAGTCAGGAGGTTTTTACAAACCAGAGTGGATGTTTACAATAGGTTCCCCATCGGTGGCTTGGCTGCCGGAGGTGTGACGAGTGCTTTGAAGGCTGCGGCTTTATGCTCAGCGGAGGGGAACTGGCCTCAGCCACCTCCTACCTCAGGGCACATTCTCAGGCTCATGGATGGCGGAGGGCTGAGGTGGCTCCCTAAGGAGGCTGCAGGGCCACCTGGACCTGTCGCCGGGGGCCGTGCTGGCTGTTGCTTTCCCATTGGCAGCACTCTTTGTGCTGTGGGGACCGAGAGCCACCATTGCCGATGACCTAGGGGTGAGAAATCGTCCACTCTATGTCCTGAGTGTGTGGAGTGGAGGTGGGCGCCTTGCGATGCCTTGGCGCTGTGGCAGGGAGGCAGGGTCCAGGGGTAGCCCTTGGCCTCTGCACCCCTAGGCCTGAGTCTGAGGCCTGCTCCTCCAGGGTGAGCAGCTGCTCTTAGAGCCTCAGTGTCCCTCTGCAGTGTTGCGGGTCAGGAGTGTGGCCATCCTTGGTGACATCTCCATGGGGAGCAGGTGGATGCCCACATTCGGCAAGCTGGTTTCCTGTGGAGAAAGTGCTGAAAGGATGAGGATGTGGTGCTTTCTCTCGGGGGCCAGGGGTGGCTTCCCTGCCGAGGTGACATTCAGGGCTCTGGGTGAGTGGGGTGCCCAGAAGAGGAGCATCTGCGGAGCGGCCGACTGTGTGTGGGACAGAGGATGTGGAGGTGCAGGTGGGGACACTGCTGCCTGGGAATCTTCTGTGGTCCCCTCGCTCCCTTGGAAGAGGTGCTTCCATCCCATGGCCTCCCTGACTGCGCTCCCAGCCCTGCCTGAGACTCCAGCTGACCATCCCACCTCTCTCCCCCTGCAGTGCACCGTGCAGGTCAAGTTAGAGCTGGGACACCGCGCCCAGCTGCGCAAGAAGCCCACCACGGAGGGCTTCACCCACGACTGGATGGTGTTTGTCCGAGGCCCTGAGCAGTGCGAGATCCAGCACTTTGTGGAGAAGGTGATCTTCCGGCTGCACGACAGCTTCCCCAAGCCCAAGCGTGGTGAGTGGCCCTGCTTCGGTCCCTCTTCCTCAGGCCGGCAGCACTCGGTGCCCAGCCGTTCTCTGATGTGGCCGTGTCTGGCCCCTCCCCAGCTGTCAAGTCTGCCATGGGGACTGTCTGTGTGTCACCACGTAAAGCCACTCCGAGAGGCACCAGTCGCTAGTGGATGGGGGTGACTGACCGGAGCCGGCTGTGCATAATCTAGAAACCACTCATGGACCCTACTAGGGTGCTGTTCTGAGACTTCGTAGTATTTCAGGCAGGAAGCGTCGGAGGGAGGCCTGTCACTGCTGTCTGTTGCCTTTTGTGGCTCCTTTCCCTGCATCACTGTCTGCTGCTGCCTGATGAGCAGCAGAGCCCTGTTTGTACCCCAAACGTCTCCAACGTGGTGCAGTAGCCCTGGGCTTCCTGGAGGACATAGGGGTGGGGCTCACCCAGTCTGTGATCAGGGATGACTTCTTGGGGAGGGGGTCCCAGGGGAAGATGGGTTCGGTGGTGACTTGGAGACAAGGTTGGTGGTCTCTCCTGAGCTCTTTGGGGACTGAGGACTATCTGATTTGAACACCATTGAGTCCCCGGTGTGAAGCCCCGGCCTGGCATCTAACAAGGCCCAGTACTGGTTTTTCTTTGCAGTGCTGGGGTTGGAACCCAGGGCCTGATACATGCCAGGCAAGTGCTCACCAGTGAGCTGTACCCCCATTCCTCCCAATAAACCACCTTGCCTTCCTCCCCCCACCCTTCCTTCCTGCCTGCTTTCTTCCCTCTTCCCATCCCCGCCTCCCTCCTTCCCATCCTCCCTTTCTCCCTTCTCCCCCTCCCACCCAGGACCTCTACATACCCGACGAGTGTTCTACTTCTGAGCTGCATCAGCAGCCCTTTTAGATAACATCTCCCTAAGTCACCCTAGTTTGCCTGGAACTTGCCAGCCCCCAAGGAATTGGGATGATAGGAGTGTGTCACCACCCCAGCAGAACTGTCCGGATGAATGTGCCTTAGCAGAAGAAAAACCTTTATGCACCCAAGGGCTTTTGGTGGGGACCTGTTACCGGCTGCTGATGCCCCACCTGGTGTGCTTGGGTCCAGCAGCTGCGGAAGTAGCTTCTAAGCAAGAGCTTCCGCTCAAGCAGGGCTGCCAGGCGTCACAAATGTAGGAGCTTGTGCTCCTGTAGGGGCACCTTCCTGAGGCTGCTCGTGGCAGCAGTTTTCCGCTCAGGTGTGGGCTCTTGCTTTCCCTCCTCATCTGTCCTCCCTGAGCCTTCACCTTCATCCTTCCTCATCTCTTAGGGGTGGCAGCCCGGCCATCATCTAGCCCCCCTGCCCGGCTCTTCTCTGCCCTTCTGCCTGTCGGCATGGTGTGGGGACAGGCCCTGGTGACAGTTTCCCCTCACCTTGAAGCCATCCGTCTTTGTCTCCACCCTGGCAACAACTGAGCAGCTCCTCAAAGTCATACTAATAGCAGCCTGCTTTCATCTGGCTTTGGCTCCATGCCTGCGCTCCTGGTGACATCCCTGTGCCCTAGGGCCTCAGGATCCCTGTGACTCGGACGTGGAACAGAGGTGACAGAGGCCCAGTCACCTGCTCGAGGGCTGGAGGAACCTGTAGGTTCTGAGGTCTGAACCCTTGAAAGATTGGTGGTGCCTGAGGCCCATTGTCATGAGGAGCCAGGGCTCTTTGTCTGGACTGGGCCGCAGGGTGAGCTTCCCGTTCTTCCCATCCAGGTACTAACTGGCCTGACCCTGCTTATTAGCTCATGAGATGGAGCGTTCACACCACAGAGTAACAGCAGGGTAAGCACTCTGTTCATCACGCATGGCGAAGGACTGTGTGGTTCATTCCCATCCATCAGAGAACCACCCAGCTCATCACTTGTTATAGAATAACTCCTCAGCTCCTCAGAGATATCGGAGACTAAGTACCCAGTTTGCGCTTTGTTGTCAGTGAGAAATGCAGCAGCTCTTAGGGAGGGAGGGCCTGCTGAGAGGATTCAGCCTCTGGAAGGATACTTTACATACTTGAAAAGCATCTTTCCAAACATGCATACATTGTAGCATGAACGGGGGGGACCCTGCAAGTGAGAGAGTAGGTTGGCAGTTCTATGCCCCAGGGGCAGATTGGAATGTGTCTTTAACACCAGCTGATTGAAATCCTATTTCTTGATTTATTTTTCAGTTGTAAATAATGCTTATTGATTTACCACGTGAAAGGTTGAGAATTATTCCAAACCTACCCCCTTTTGCCCAGTGACTCCCCAGTTCTTTTTCTTTTCACAGTGGGGATGGAGGGAGTGCTGAGGTACATCCAGGGCCCTTTTATTTTTTATTTTGAGACAGGGTCTCAATGAAATGCCCAGGCTAGGCTCAAACTTGTAATCCTCCTGCCTCAGCCTCCCAGAATGCTGGGACAGGTGTGCACCGCCGCTCCTAATTAAGCTGTTTGTAGTTAAACAATTTTAATTTGGGGTTTTTTGTGTCTGTTTTATCCTGCTGCTGGGGATGGAATCCAGTAGGCATGTGCCCTGTCCCTAGGCTGCGCGACCAGTTCCATCTGGGGACTGCGTGATGAGGCGAACCTGTTCACCTTCAGGGTCCTCCACAGAAGAGCCCTGTGTCCCCCTTTTCCGGGGCGTCCTCTGGCTTCCAGGTCTAAATTACTGCTGCTTTGCCCAGTACATCTACCCGGGCTCATGCTGCTTTGGTTTTTCATTTTTCTTGTTAGCACATCCTAAGACATCTGTTGTGTCTCTCACCCTTTGCCCCAGGTGAAGGGGTTTTTTTGATTTGTTTGCTGTAGTGTCTGTCCCTGGTGCCCATCCGGACACAGTAGTTGCTCAGTGAATGTCACGACCTGAACCATCAGGCTCTTCCGTGCTGCCTTCCTACTCCCCTCTGGGGAAGATGAGGCCTGAGATAAGACCCTGTCTTTCTGGGCCTTCTGGACCCTCCTGTAAAGAGCTGCCATGGTGAAGATGGTAGTGCTAAAACCAAGACCTTTGGCTCTGGCCGGCTGGCTGGGTGTTGGGCTTCTTCCCTCCACTCTGTGTCTCCTGCATCCTGAATTCTAGGCTGTGATAGAGACTGCCCAAGGTCATATCAAGGTCAGATGAGTTTTTGATCATTTATGTTTAAAATTTTGCTTCATTTTAGTTTGTGTCATGACATTTTGAGTAACTATTTGCTTCTCTTTTTTGTTCTGTGTCTTTATCCTGTCTTCTTTTTTTGCATCTTCTTGGTCATTTATTCTGTGGGACAGGGTTTTTTCTTTCACTGCTGAATATTCCATCCCATCCCATCCTTCTGCCTTCCCCCTCTCATCAGACTAGGTCCTCCAGACTGTATCCTAGGCTCTTTCTTCACTGTGCTCCCAGTGTGTGGAGGTATTTATTCCCCTTTGCTTTGGTTTATTTTCTCCTGTAATAGAGCAGTTTCTCAGGTGCCATCCCCAGAGGTTAATTGCTGGGGAAATTTCCTGAGAGCTGCGTGGGCAGCCGGGCCCTCTGAGCCCCAGTGGCTGGCATCTGCCGCCACCCCTGCCCATGCAAGTGAGTGCAAGTTGGGTCAGTCACATTCTGGGTGGGAGAAGCGCAGTGTTGCTTCATTACCCCCAAGAAGTCTGGGGCTCCTGGGTCCTTATTCTACTGTAGGCTCCTGCATTTAGGATGTTGCAAATGACATTGTGGCTGGTATTTTTGTTGTTCTTTGTGTTTTGTGACATTTCACCTCAGTTTCCGTCTATGCATTTCCTCAGTTTGCTCTTTCTGGGGTGCTTTACATGACTTTTCTGTGCTTAAATATTATCATCTATAAAACAAGAATCGTGTGTGTTCATAAGGGTGTTGTGAGGATTAACTGAGCTGATAGGAGACCCACACTCTAGCTGCTGAGAAATGGTAGCTTTGTCAGCTAAATCATTGAATTGGAGTCATTTCTTCATGTCTCACTGGGGTTTTTTTGGTTTTTTGAGACAGGGTCTTGCCGAGTAGTACAGGCCAGCCTGAAATTTGCAGTGTTGTTCTGGCTGACTTTTCAACTCAAAATCCTCCCGCCTCAGCCTCCCAAGTTCTGGGATGACAGACACCATTCCTGGCCTCATATCTCACCTTTTGGGGTGGGGGAGGTTTACTGGATATTGAACCCAGAGCCTTGGCACTGAGCTACATCCCCAACCGTCTTAATTTTTTATTTTGAGACCAGGTGTTGCTAAGTTGCCCAAGTTGGGCTTGAATTTGTAATCCTGCCTCAGCCTCCCACAGTGCTGGAATTGTAGAAGTGCACCACCTCACCCGGCTCTCACTGTACTATCGGGAGATTTTATTTTCTACTCATCCCATTGAATTAAAAAACTATGTATTCTTATACTAAGAATCCATTCCTGTTCTTTAGTCTTTCCCTTGTTGGCTGTACCTCTTTGGTTCTTAGCACATTGACTGGGTGATGGTTATCATTTACTTATATGTTTTATTTTTTAATGTTTCAGTGCTGGGGATGGAATCCAGGACCCTGGTTTATGCTAAGCAAGTGCTAACCCATGACAATCTAGTCCTTTCATCTTTCCTTTATTTTTATGTATTTATTTATTTTTGCAATAGTAGGGAAAACCCAAGGCCTTTGTACTGAGCCACATCCCCAGCCCTTTTTAAAAATTTTATTTTGAGACAAAGTCTTATAAGTTGCATTGTTTGGTTGGAACTTAAAATCCTCCTGCCTCAGCCTCCCAGAGTACTAGGATTATAAATATGCACTGGTCTTGCCTGGCTTTTTTCTTTTTTCAGTTCTCTTGCGGTCTCCAAGTCTTTCCTGTGTCCTTGGGCTCTGACCTCCAGGTGACGTTCTTCTTGAGTACTCTGTTTGTGGCAAGGTGGTTTCTGTTCACCCACAGGACTTCCAGATTTCCTGCTGAGGAGGAATTTCCTCTCTTGTTTCTACCCTGAAGCTTTTGCTCCCAGGGACAGCTGCTCTCTGAGGACAGGGAAGCCTCTGGATTTCCCTGAGGGACGCTTGCAGCTGCCCTGCCCTGGAGTGGTGAGCGAAGGGTGGGGTCCCCAGGGCTGATGGTCCAAGTACAGGCTTTCAGTTTCATTTTTCTAACAAAATAACTACTTTCCTGAGATCTAATCACACACCACAAACTACCCTGTTGCTCTGTGCACTGAGTGATGGACCATACTCAGCATTTGTGCAGACATCACTGCCAATTTTATGTCACCACCATCTCGGACATTTCTGTGCCCTGAGAGAGAAGCCCCAGGGCCATGATTCACTGTCACTACTGCCTCTGCCTCCCTTCCCACCTCCAGCTTCTCATCCTCTCTCTGCCCCTCTTGGGGCCGTAATGCCACTGCCCAGGCCTCCTACAGTTCTGGCACCAGAAGGGCCTCCTGTCCCCTCCCTGACCACCACCTGCGTCTCTTGCCTCCTCTCTTCACAGCTGGCTTGATTTCACATCATATTGACTTGGCTGTGACTCCCGTGAGCCAGCAGGTGACACAGCAACCTGGCCTTCCCTGATTCTCTGGAAGGCCACCTCTGGAGGGCTGGCTGCATGCATGCCCTCTGGGAAGAGGCAGGGGAACTCAGAAAGGTCACTTCCCTGAGGGGCTGTTTAATCTGTTGGGCACTGAGAGAGAATATGTGACAGAGATTTGGAAAGATGACTGCCCTGAGCATAAGCAAGTGACATGGGTATCAGAGGCCAAGGAAACCCGGCCTGGACCTGCTGGGAGCCCTTCATGGCTGGGTGGGGAGGACACGGACACGGGTTTGAGATCTGCGGGCTCATCCCTCCTCCTTCCTGGAGCTACCTCTGCTCTTTCCCAGGTACAGATCCAGTAACCTGGATCTGGGTGCCCACAGAGTGCACGGCCTGCTCTGCACGTGGAGTCCCAAGAGCAGACTGCAGATGTCCAGGGCTGGGGTTGGGCAGCTCTTCTGCAGCTGAGAGACCCCAGTTCCTAGCTGCCTACCCTCACAGAATGTGGGGCCTGGAGGAGGGGCCAGAATGTGGCCTTGGGTGCCTGGCAGAGGTGTGGCATGTACCCCTCACCAGCTGCACTTGACAGATACTTAGTGAATGCTTCCAAAAGGAAGTGTATGTCCTTGAGGCAGGTTCTGTCCCTGGTCCAGGCCCTGGGGCTGTGACACTGAGGGAGACAGAGCCCACATGTGGGGATGGACAAGGACAGATGGAGGGAGCACTGCAGAACCCTGGGGCCAGGCAAGGAGGTAGGGCTGGGTGCCTAGCAAGGTTGCTGGAGGAAGTGACCTGCAGCCCAGGCTGGGCCCTGTGACCTGAGGCTGGCCTATGGGAGAGGCGGCTGGAAGAGGCTGAGCACCTTGCAGGCCTGGGGGTGGTGAGAAGTGCACTGTGGGCAGTGGGAGCCAGCAGGGCAAGTTAGACTTGAGCTTCACATGGTCCCCCGTTCTGGCTTCCTGGCCTGCGGCTGCCCGGGAAGGAACCTGGGCCACTGCCTCATTGCCCCAAGGCTTGTGATTTGATAGCACTTGGTGACAGGTGAGCCTTAGAAGAGGAAGCAGGTCCCTGGGTGGAGGGTGGCTGTGGCATGCAGGGGATTGATTGCAGATTTGTGGGTGCACCTGGAGTCTCTTTGGGGTGGGCTGCATCTGAGGTCCCTCTGCAGCATCTCTGGAGCCTGTCGGCGGAGCAGGAAGGAGCCAGGCTGGAGTGGAGATTTGGGACAAGTCTGTCAGGATCACTATCCCCAGCTGCAGATTCTGCCTGTTGTCCCAGCATTGTCCTACAGACAGGGCTGCTTCCCCACCCTTGGTTTGAGGGTGACAACCCCCCAGGAGTACGCTACAAGGGGATGGAGGTGCCCATGGGGCTCTAGCAGGCAGCTGGGGGAAGGTGGAGAGGGGCACCAGGAACCTTGGGGACACTCATCCTCTTGTGCCAGAGTCCCCCGCACAGCTGTCAGGCAAGCCAGCCTTGGCTTTGAGGGCCCCTGGTCACCCACATCTGCTCCACTGGCCCAGCTTATTTCTCTAGATGGAGAAGATACACGAGGCCCTTAGTGGAGTCTTTTCTCTTTAGGAAAGTCATGGTTTTAATGTTAAGAAGTCATGTTTTATTGTGTTCCATTAATTGCTTTCCAGCAAGTGCTGTAAGAATTACCTTGCTAGTACAGATGTACATGTATAAAGGTTTTTAACAGTTGACATTGTATTAAGTGAAGTATGCCAGACATAGATGAAATCCTATATGAACTCATCTGTGTGTAGAACCTGCAGTTGTCCAGCTCAGAGAGACAGCAGGATGGTGCTGCCAGGGGCTGGGGAGGTGACATCAGAGGACACGGCTGCCACTTGTGCAGGATGGCCGAGGTCTGTGCAGCGTACATGTACAGCCAGCAAGACTGGATGTGGGTGTCAGATGGCTAAGAGGGTGACCATACTGTACATGTCCTTAAGGGACAAATGGACTGGAGGAAGCTTTCGGGCTGACGAGTGTGTCTCTCCCTCAGTGGTGTCGTTGGTTACGCAGGTGTGTGGCTGTGCTCACATGTGTCAGATGTGCACTTTAAACACATGGCTTTCTCCATGTTGGTCAAACTTGAGGGGTTGGGCGACTCCCACCCCTGCCATCAGCAGTTGGCAGGATTTTTTCCTTTATCTCAGTGTAGTGGTTGCATTGCCTCCAGAGATGAAGGGCCAGAAGACTGGGGATCGAATTCTGGTCCTTGCACTTGCACAGCAGGCGGCGAAACCACTGAGGTAAATCCCCGGCCCGGGATTTGATCTTTATAATTCTTTTCTTTTGTTTGTTTGTTTTGTTTGTTACTGGGGATCGAACTAGGGACCTTGCGCAACGAGACAGGCGGTGGAACCATTGAGCTAAATCCCCGGCCCTCTCTCGTTTTTTAAAGCAGAGAAATGGTATCTTCGTGGTATTCACTGGATGGCGGTAGACTTGGAGCATGCAGCTTATTTTGGATGAGATTGTGGACATTGATTATTTTATGTGTACTTTGCGATGCTCATTTCAGTTTTGTTTTTTCTCTCCTAGTACTGGAAGTTGAACCCAGAGCCTTTGCACTGAGCTGTAGCCCTACCACTTTATAATTTTTTATTTTGAGACAAGGTTTCCCTGAGTTGTCTTAGATAGGCTCCAAATTCCCCTACCTCAGCCTCTTTAGAGTGCTGAGATCACAGGCACGTTCCACCACCCTGGCTTCGGACTACTCTTGTTAGTCCTGAAGTGGAGCCCAGAAGGACAGTCCTGTGAGACCTGCTCCATGTGTGTCCAGCACAGAGTAGGGCACAGAGCTCAGCCAGAGCCAGCCATGCAGGGAGGTGGGTGCCGTGGAGGTTCTGTCCTGCCTAGCAACTGGCTGAGTCAGTGGACTCAGTGGCCTGGCCTGGCCTGGCCTTCACTTCCTCATATAATGCAGGAGCAAGTCCCCAGATGACAGTCTCACCCCTCCTGCTGTCCCCCTGCTGACTGCTCCTTTACTCACCTTTCTCCTGCCCAGCCTGCCTCTCTGACTTCCTGGACTTCCTTCCTTCAGCATGGAACCACTGGGCAGCCAGGGAGGAGGTGGTGTGGGCATTGCTGGCTGGGCCTGGGAAGGGACAGGAAGCTGACCAATGGTTTTCCCTTTCTTTTTAGTGTGCAAGGAGCCCCCCTACAAAGTGGAGGAGTCGGGTTATGCTGGCTTCATCATGCCCATTGAGGTGTACTTCAAAAACAAGGTAGGAGCCATGCCAGTCGCTGTATACCTTTATACCTGACCAGGCCTGCGGGAGCTATGGGCGTGGCGCTCAGATGTGCTGCCTTCCCTGGAGCCACATGCATCTCAGCAGTGCCTCCAGCCGAACTCCATGTCAGAACCCTCAGTCATTCTGAGGCATTGGTGGCACAGAGGCCTCAAGCCTGGGACCAGCACCCCTGGGCTAGAGCCAGCCCAGCTGCAGGGGACTCTGAGGGTCGGGGTGTCCTGGCTCTTGGCCCTGTGGGGCAGGTCTTGTGATAGGTGTGTGTCACCGTTCAGTGACAGTAGAACCCTGTCTTGGCGGCTGAGGGATTGCATCCATCCCTCTCCTAAGTCCCTGCCTGCCTCAGTGTTCTGCGGGGTGGCAGGACCTCATCGCTTTGACCAGTTAAACTCTCCTCCGGGGTGACTTAGAGGAAGAGCCTTTGAGTCTGGGAAGCAGTCTGGGGTCCCACCAGCCTGTGGGGCTTTTATGTCTCCCATGCCTGTGATCCCTGGTACGCAGACCTTCCTCTCCTTGCCTGGGCCCAGCATGTGGGCCAGACAGTACTGCTGGGTGGGTACTGGTTCCTAGAGCTTTCCCTGGGACCCTGGGACCCTACTGGGCTTGGAAGGTGACCCCAGCAAGGCTGGGGAGTCTTGGCTAAATCCTCTCGCCAGGGAGGGTGCTGTTTGCACCTCAGCTGGGACAACCCCTGCTCCCGCCCTGCAGTATCCATGCAGCCTGTGGCTGAGCCAGAGCTCTCGCTGCAGGTGGGGATGGACACCGTGTCCACACGGTTCTGGGAGGGTGGATGGTGCTTGGTTGCTGCCTAGCTTCTTGGTGATAAGCTGAATGTGACCTCATATTTGTGCCCAGTGTGGCCACCACCCCCTTTGCTCCCCAACCACCTGCCTTGCTCATCCCCTGCCACTGCCCAGCCCAGTGCCCCAGCAAAGTCTACTGCTTTCTGAATCACTGTGGCCCCACTGTGTCTCACTGCGGTGTTCGCACTGGCTGCAGGCCTCAGATCCATTCTGTACCCTACCTGTGAGGCCAGGCTTGGGCCCCACTTCCCTGAGCCCCTCGATGCTGTTGAGGCCTCGGAGGCCCAGTGGGTCTGTGTTCTGGCCCATCCCTTTCTTAGTTATTTTCTGTGTGGGAGCCACGTCCCAGTGTCCCTGGTGGGTGAGCTGACGTCTGTGTTCATGGACATCTCCATGAGTCTCCATGGGGGCAGACTGGTGCCCTGTCTGGGTGGTCATGGGGCCTCTGAGGCATCTGGAGGCTGCCCTGAGAGGGGACAAGAGCCCTGAGTGGCTCCTGCTCAGCTCAGCTGTTGCCTCGCCCACAGCCGCACCTGCGCAGTGCTCCCCTCAGCCTACCACCCAGACTTTGAGGTCTCTGGGGCTTTGTCCTGCCCCTGCTGGGGGAGGGACTGGACTAGGTGGCCCTTCGGCTGTGAACTGTCCTTGCCGGGCTCAGCATCCTCCCTTGTGTGGGGCTTCCATGTTGATGTGGGACTCCGTATTCCTTCAGAGGTCCCCAGGCTGCCTCAAGCTCAGTACCCACCCCCACCTTTGTCCTCTGGGGGCCACATGCACGACTCACTGCTTCTCTACCTCCAGCAACCCCAGCTGTGTGGCTTTGGGTCAGGACGCTTTGCATAAGCCAAGTCTGTCGAGGTATAATTTGCACTGAGTAAAACCCTCCTTTGTCAGTTGGAGCAGGGATTTGAGTCTCAGCAGGTTTTCACTGGAACCCTCATGGAGAATGGCCAGTTTTCCTCTTCCCAGCCCAGATCCTGGCTCAGTCCCTGCAGAGGCTATGGGCCAGGCTGTTTGCTTCCTCTCCTCTACAGGGTGCCCAGGAGACCTCGCCTCCTGGTGGCGGTGGTTTCAGGAGCCCTGGTGTGTGCCCCCCATGGAGCTGGCGCACAGGCCTTGGTCACAGCTGTGGCTGTAGGTGTCCAGTGTGCCAGGTGTCCTAGATTGCCCACATCTGAGGACGAAGGAGCTCTTGGGGACATATCACCTGGTCAAGGCCACATATCGGCGGGGTGGGGATTTGAACCAGCTGTGTGTAGACACCAGAGCTTAACCCTTGAGACAGATGTGACCCAGGACGACTGCTAGTGATTTTCACTTCTAGCTGACAGGGTCACCATTGTCCTGTGCACTGCACTCTGCAAATGCTGTCTAACCACAGGGCCCTGCTTTAGAAGTTTAGTGAATCAAAAATGAGCGTTGGTTAATTTGGGAAGCAGCTTACCCAGGCTTGGAGGAGTGTTTGAGACAGGCCACAGGGAGCGGGTGTGCAGGATTTTCCTGCTCTGTGCAGCAGAGCTCACACTGGGTTCTCAGCCACTCTTACTCCCAAGCTGCAGGGCAGGGCAAAAGCATTGCTGTAACCCTTCCCTCACTTCCTCAATACTCCAGTCGCTTTGATGGAGTGCTCATCAGATATCTTGCCCTGGGGTTTCTGGATGTGGTAGATTCTTGTGCTGTGGCACAGCTGTATTAGAATCTTTCAGGGGAAGTAAAGGACAGGTAATAGGAAATAGGTAGATAGATCCTTTGCAAATGAGAAGGGGCCAGGAGATAGCAGCAGGGAGGGGAAGGGGATGAAAAAGAATTAAGATCTCCATGTACCAACTCCCCATGGGGAGTGTAATCGTTGTGTACTGCAAATGTATACTTAAAAAAAAAAAAGGACCGGTGTCCTGAGGTGTGTGTGGGAATGACGTCTGCGGTCATTCACTCATTTTCTCCAGGCATCCCTGTGAAAGTTCCCACAGCAAAATGTACCACACGTGCCCACAGCGGGGAGCCACCTAGATGGAGGGCACACATTGTCTCACTAGGCACGGCTTCTACCATTAAGCATTTTAGACTTTGTTGTGAAAATTCAACACAGTGCAAGTAAGATGTTTATGAACATTAAATATAACCTAAATAAGAATGAAAAACATAATATAGTTAATGCATATCTGATGATCTATAAAAAAAAACAGAAAAGTTGAATGTCAAAGTTGGAGATGAAGGAGGAGGATCCCAAGGCTGTCCTGTGGTCGGTCACCCTGAGGGGTCAGCAGGGCCGCCAGGGGCACAGGCAGCCAGTGGACAAATGGGGTCAGTTGCCAGGACAGGTTACCTCCCCAGGGGGGGTTCTCTGTCCACGAGGTGAGGTTCCTGGCTGGGTGCACTTGGGAGGTCCAGAGTGTGGGGTGCGTGCAGCCCCTGAGCACATTGTTCTGTGCCTGCCTGCTGCTGTCATCGGCTTTGCTGTGGTAGTTTTGCAGTGGTAGCAATTGAATCCAGGGGTACTCTAACCCCAAGTTCCCCTGAGCTGCCTCTCAGCCCTTTTTATTTTATTTTCAGACCAAGTCTTGCTAAGTTGTGCAGGCTGGCCTGGAGCTTGCAGTTCTCCTGCCTCAGCCTCTTGAGTAGCTGGATGGAGGCGTGTGCTGGTGCCACTGTCTATAGTCTAGGTCTTTCCCCATGATCGGGACAAGGAGGTGCAGGGAGAAAGGCCCAGGGAGACGGGGGTCTCAGTGGCAACAGGATGTCATCTGGCTTCTGTGGGGCCAGAGGTGAGCCTGATGTGGGGGGATGCCATGTCAGACCCCTCTGTCGTTCTAAGCCTGAGGTTCTTTGAGATCAAGCGCTTGCCTGAGGATGTGGCTGTCTGAAGGGGGGAGGATGCATGTCCTAGGTGGTGTTGGGTACCAGCATTCATGGAGGCTGCGTTGGGTTTGGTCGGTTGGCAGGATGCTTTCCATAGATCAGTAAAGGGAGAATTGGGGGGGCCTCCTCTTCTTACAAATTAATACCTGTGCACTGCAAGGAAGTGTTTTCAATTGAGGAGAGGCCCACACACACATGGTATAACCATCTCAGGGTGCTCCGTTCGTGGTGCTGAGTGCATGACAGTGTTTGTGACTGCCGCCTCTCCAGCCTGAGCTCTTTACTACCTGGGAGGAGACCCTGCCTCTCTGCTTGCCCCGCCCCCCTCTCACCTGATTTCTGCTCCATGGGTCTGCCCAGGTCAGCATTTCTGACACATGGATCACACAATGTGGGAACTTCAGCGTCTGGCGACTTCTTTCACTTAGCCTCATCTTCTTGAGGTTCCCTCAGGCTGTAGCAGGTGCCGGTGCAGGTTGAGGGCCAGAAGTTTTTTACATTTTGGAGCTCTTTTGGATTTGGGAATCTTTGCACAGGTGTTACTCCAAAATTCAGAGTAAACCAAGCACTGGGAAAGAGTTGGGTTTCAAATTTAAGATTGGAGCTGCTCACCCTGGACTTCGCTCCTTCGCCTGAGTTCTCTGCCCCACGTGTGTCCAGTCAGCTGTTATTAAAGGGCAGACACTGAATTAGCCAATCCTGACCTCCCAGGGGAAATGCAGGCCTGGGCTCTGGCCAGCTCTGGTCACAGCTCTTCACCCACCGATGAATATGTAAGTGTTTCTGTTCATGGACCCCTGATTTAGGACACACTGATGCTTCATGGACATTGACCCCTTGGCCAGTGGCACTGTGAGTCCCGCCTACATGAAGCTCACCTCCTCCCATGCAGTGTTTCCTCAGGCACATCACAGCCCTGGCCTTCAGAGGGTTAGGTGCCTTTAACAATACGCTCTCAGGCCATCTTAGGGTTTTTGTTTTTGTTTTTGTTTTGTGGTACTGGAGATTGAACTCGGGGCCTTCGAACTGAGTTGCATTTTCAGCCCATTTTTTTTATCTTGAGATGGGGTCTCACAGAGTTGCTAAGTTGCCCAGGCTGGGCTGGAACTTGCAATCCTCCTGTCTCAGCTTCCTGGTGCTGGGATCACAGGTGTGCACCACCATACATGGGATTAGAGACCATTTCAAACAGCCAGGTCACTGAAAACAAAACCAGCACAGAGAAGTGAAAGCAGTGGCACTAAATACACTGTGGAAAGCACAGTGGGTCACAGCGTGGGAGCCATAGCAGGGGACAGTGCTGCTGGGCTAAGC